CAGTAGTATGCCGCTTCTTCGAGCCCACGTCCCATGCTTGGCCCTTACTGAGGGCAGTTTGGAAGTTTTTGGCCACTTTTGCCTTCACTGTTGGACCAGTTAGAATCTGCGACCACACGAAAACAATCGGAAATCGCATTTTAAGAGCCATGATTCACAGTCTTGATAGCTGGGGCGTGTCGGATGCCTACCTACACTGAGCCAATTGCTACTTGGGGATATACTTGGGTAGCGCCCACCGCATGGTCAGCTATTTGATGCCTATTTGACGTCTACGATCCCTCAATAACGTTGGGCTCTGCATCCGGGATCTCTTGGCTTCAGAGTAACCGCGAGTTTGATGAAAGTGGAATGCGTGGCGCATTCCAAAAAGGATTGATTGAAGCTGAAAGCTATCTTTTGCACTTTCTATTCAATCCAGTTATGTGGATGTTGCCGCTAATTGAATTTGGTTGTGTGGATGTTTTTGAACGATTTTGAAATGTTGAGTACCAATAGCTGGCGCTATTTGTCTGCTTTATGCATGAGTCACACCCGCCAGCTATTACCGCTCGTCATCGAATTCTCTGACCTCAAAACTGATGATGGGTTTCTCAAAGTTCAATTGAAATCGTTCGAAATTACCCACAGAAATGTTGCCCGCCTCTCGTTCTTCAATTGTGGCTTTCCTGTTGTCGTGATGTCGTCAAGGACACCCGTCCTCAAGTTGTATGTAGTAGTAATAGCATTTTTTGTAGGATCTCGTTTTTCGCATATCAGTGCGAAAAAAGGCAACTGTCATGACACCAAGGCCATTATGCGCTGTGTAGGACTTAACGGGGTCGTATTCGGCCGCTTGAGAGAGCGGTCGTATTCCGCAAGAGAAAATTTTTATGAATGTTTTCTCAATTTCACGCTCGCTTTGTTCCCACTAGTGGGGAGATATTCTTCACGAGTTGCCCAATGTAACCGCCAGCGCTCACCTTCAGTCCGGGGTCCACGAAGAAAATATTGGTCTTTCCATTCCAGGTACGTCCGGTCCATACCATCAACCCGCGCCTTGACGACTGTGGTGAAGATGATGTCCTAGACCGTGGCGACGTTGTCGGAGCTGCTCTGTTACGTAGTAGTTAAGCGTTGTCTACCCATTCCCACCCCCTTGACGGCATTCTTAGGGAGAAACTGTTTATTGTGTGGCCGGTTTATGAGAGGGTTCGTTCTGAAGGACGAAAATATAAGGGTCCGTACCTTTTCAGCAAGTATTTTCTACTGTATGATGATAAGCCGCCGATTTTCGCTGTGATACAGTGCGCGACCCGTAGGGTTAGACTTTGACCTTCTGAATCGTTCTTTAAACTCAATCATTAGTACGTTACAAGCCAGTCCCTATTACCTTAATATACAGGGGGGGCCAAAAAAAGTCACTTTTCTTCATTGACTTTCGAGGCGCTATAAGTTACACTTTATTAAATTCTGATCGGACATTTTTACCACCATATTAAAGAGCATATCAAATACTATCATGACACTCCGCCACAGCCTTCTGGACGAGCGCCATCGAGAGATTCTGGCACGCGACCGCGATGTGGTGCCTGAGATCAGCGAGATAGTCGATTTCTCCGCCACCGTAGACCACCCTATTGAACTCCGCCCGAACCGGGTAATTGAGGGGATTCAGGTCAGGTGACCTACTTGGATATTCCATCTTCTTTCTCAGCTTTAGGTACTCAGCCCCTTCCATTCCAAGTAGGCGAGTGTTTCTCCAACGCCCTTCGATTTCATGTGGTGGCACTCAATGCTGTAGCAGTACAAAGTTTCCAAGAAGGTACGGGCGACCACATGTGAGGAGGATATTCTTCACGAGTTGCTAACCGCCAGCGCTCACCTTCAGTCCGGGGTCCACGAAGAAAATATTGGTCTTTCCATTCCAGGTACGTCCGGTCCATACCATCAACCCGCGCCTTGGCGACTGTGGTGAAGATGATGTCCTAGACCGTGGCGACGTTGTCGGAGCTGCTCGATGTTGGAGGTCTCCAGATCGAGAGTACTGGTCTCCAGGTAGCTATCCATGGGTGACTCCATACTAGAAGTTTCGCAGCTGTTTGGAGGTGACATGAATTCCAAAGGTCTTCTCCAGTCAGGCTGCGACTGGAGATGACTTCATATTTTGGTGTACATGAAGGTGATGGGCGAGAGCCAGCTCCTGCTTATCGAGGAACATCTTGGGTATCTTCCGCCCTGGTACTCGTATCCACGTCCTGTCTGGGCAGCGAAAACTTTGCTGATATGTGACTCGGTCGAAGTGACTTTTTTTTGGCCCCCTTGTATATAATTTTGCTACGTTTGTTTGTTTGTTAGGAAGTTGGACCTCACCTAGAACAACTGAGAGAGGTCAGATCAGGTTGTGCTGGGTACGGCATAGGATTGGATGTACCAAGTGCACAGAATCCCACCCACAGGCGGGGCATGTGCCAGAAGTGAGCGACTTTCCAGACAAAACTTCCAGAGCAGCTCGGAGATGGAGAAAAAGTGGATCCACAACGTCAAGGTTCAACGAGAAAAAATGAACCGAAATGGGTGTGCCCGCTCGAGCTGGGCGTAGCTCCCCCACACCTCGTCTCTTCTCCCTGTTCTCGAGAGAGCTTCTCGCACAAAATTCGATGAAGAAGAGGAACATCCGACGAGAGTTCGTTTGTGATATCCCGCCCACAGCGGGTGGAGCGTGGACCTCAAGCATGAGGACTGTACCCCAAAGCAATGCAGAAACCGGATAAAGTGAATTCACGTAACAAGGAGTCAGTGGATGGGAGGAGGTAAAGGGAGACCTAAACTAGGAGGAGCGTGCACCGAGGTGAACGGAGCCAAAGTCAAATTCCGTGTTTCGGTTAGAGAGATCCTTAGAGACCGGGAAAAAATTGAACAAGGTAGGCAAAAGGATGAGGTGACGAAGGAAGCGAAGGAGACACACTTACAGAAGGAGAAACGTGCGCCAAAGTGTGTGGGGTCAAAGTCAACGACTTCTTACTCGGTTCCAGAGCAATCCAAAGTTTGATGATTTATTTATCTTCATATCGCCTCCTACTTATCACCATTGATCCCATGCTACCACTTGGATCACTGGCTGACGTCGTCATCTTATTTGATGAAGCACATTTCCAAGAACAGGGGAGGACTGGTTTGCCTTGAGGGCACACTTCCGCGATTAAAAGTCGAGTGTGTATGATTTGAAATGCGGCCGACATTATAAGCAAGCCAATGCTGAAAAAAAAAGCCACGGAAGTTTCCTAGGTAGGACCTCCTCCTATCGTATCCGAACTTATACGAGCATGTCGCGAACAGAGGGCGCGCTTGGACGAGTTTTCCCTCATAGGTGTCAAAAACTTATTATCCGGTGTCCTGCGGAAGCGCCAGTGACATTCTCTACGCAATCTTGAATCTTTCACGGTTGCTGCTTGAATAGCTTTGTCTCGAAAGCACGGCAAACAGCTCCAACAAGAAAGACGATCCTTTGCATTTCATAGTAGTGTGGCCTTTGTTCTGGGATTGTGTTCCTTCTCAATTTTGTTCGGAGATGCAGAGAACCCCCATTCCACTCGGGATTCAAATCAGGCTTTCCTTGCTTCGAGTGCCAGAATCTGAGACAGTTTTCATTTGGATTCCTCTATTTGCTTCATAGAAGAAGTTTAGTGATGGGAAGAAAAACCCAACTGGACTGCATGTGCAGCAGCACATCCGGGCAGAGCATTAAAGGCAGTTGGCACGACAATTTGGTACCGGGCCTATAATGCCAGCAGGGCGTTATTTAGCGGGAAAATATCGAAAAACGAAGTGAAACGGTCAAATACCAAATACCTGCGAAGAAAAGCTTCCGTTCTCAATGACTTCAAAAGCAGTTTTGGACGAGTTTCCCGTAGGCACTTGCCAGTAACCCTTACGGTAGACACGGCTGCACTCATATATCCATGCAGCACCGTGGCCGCTTCATACTAATCCCTTCGCTTCATATTTACTTGGCAAATGAGGCGAAACGAGCGCCAGGTACGGTCGTCCATTTGTGGGCGGGTGGGGCATGTTAGGCGTTCAGGTCGGTATGTTGTGGCTTTATGGGCCTTATCAAGGTACCTTCTTCAAAAAAAAGGCGCTATGCAGCACCTGCTCAGGGTCGCGGAATTCCGTCCTGCTAGACGTATTGATCCTACTCGTCTTATCGTGCCGACTCTGCCTTTAAAGGCAGTTGGCACGATGGTTTCCTACTTAGCCTAAAATGCTAGTAGGGAGCTGTATAGTGGGGAAATGGCGAAAGAACGGAGTGAAATCAAAATCCGGCGAAGAAAAAGCCTCCGTTCTCAGTGACTTGTAAATCGATTTCGGACGAGTTTCCCGTACGCATCTTGCCAATCACCGCTACCGAAGATACGGCTGCATATGTGTACCCATATATGCATGCAGCATCACCGCCGCTTCATACCAATCCCTTTGCTTCATAATTTGCTCAGCAAATGAATGAATACGAGCGTCAGAAACGGTCGTCCGTTGGGCGGGCGGGCAAGGAAGGCGTTTGGGACGTAAAGTTGTTGCTCAATAGGGCGTTATAGAGGTACCCTCCTTGGAAAAGGCTTCACGCAGCGCCTGTCCGAGGTCACGGAATTCTGTTAAGCCAGTTGTACAAATCCTACACCTGTATAGCGATTTATCGTGCCAACTGCCTTTAAGCAGCCCATCCTCACTACCTGTCAGCACTTCAGTGGGTACGTATGGTATCTATGAGTCTCACCCACACATTTAAAATTTTCTGAATAGGGAACCAGCTCTCTCATTGAATTAAAGAAAATTTCCTAGTACCTGTCTCCTGTCATGCAATATTAGAGGGTTCCTGAGTTTCATTGATCATATGTTGCACCACAGAAGAAAACTGTCTCCTTTATCTAATCATAACGTTTTTCGCTTGAATTCGGTTCCTTTTACTTCATTTTACTTATGCCGTACTCATTTCATTTACTTTATCCTCCATCATGCATATTATGCAGCAGAATGCACGTAGCGAGCTCGGAAAGAAAACATTATGCACTAAATGGGTTGCCGCCGAAGAAGGTCCAATGAATGAAAGGGTCGAAAGTAGGCTAAGTAAAATAAATCCCTTGTCCAGTACTTCATTGTATGAGGTAACGGTGAGAGGACTTCCAGCGTAGAAAAGCCAAACGGAAGAGGAAATGGTGAGAAAATACAATAAGACAGCGCCATACGGTGATGAAATGAAGTGATAAGGGCGTAGAAAGACCCTCCACAGGCGGGGCCTGGCCACACTAGCAAACCTGCAAACCAAACTCACCAACTGGTGCTGCGCAAGTGACTATCATGGAAGGGCAGGAATGACTTTGCTGCTTTTACCCGCTTTTTTCAGTTGATATGAAGAACAGTGATCTGTCTGGAAATAGAAGAACCTCCACTGTAGTGTTATTATAGATTTATCAACTCTGGTGAAACTGATCCTTCAGGCTCTTAGAAGGTTTCGAGGTTACGCGGCTCGAAAATGATTAGTTCCGCCCCTCAAAATAAAGACAAGTAGCACAAAACAGAAGAAAAAAGCAGAAAACATCCGCACGAAGTGCCTCATATGGGCAGGCGTTACGGTAGCCAGTGGATGGACGGTGGCTTCGTTGCCAACGAATCTCTCTTTCCTCATGTATTTTGAAGGTGCAGAAGTAGTACATCTTTCATGCTTGTGGACAGGACTACCGTATCCAAAGAAAGCGTTATCGCATCGAATGATTACGGAGCGAGTCATCAAGAAGAAACGGGTTGATACTCTCAAAGCCTCAAGAAGATCAATTTCGACTGTTCAACTGCTTAACGTCCAGACGTATTCGTCATAAGGTCCAGTAAACTTTCTAGAGGCGTAAAATCCTCTGTCGAATGTGTGCATAGATAGCAGGTATTCTAGGGGAGACGATTTAGTGAATATTTGTTCGGGGCCCCCAGCTCATGCTATCCCTAACTTGAAGAGACCTAGGGTGTGCAAGGGGGTTACAAGGCTTCGATAAGCTGGGGTTCGAGCATTTGTACGGAAGAAAATAATGAAGAGGAAATAAAGAAGCAAGGGAGGAAAATAAAGTAAGAGTAAGAGTAAAGAAAGGACTAACTAGGGAAGGTTCGTCAGGTCGAAGTGGCCATTTGTAATGAGATGTAGCTCACTAGACGTGGTTTTGGACGCTGATCTCGAATATGCCTTTGAAATTTGCAGAACGATTTTCTGAACGGAGTTATGAAGGTTTGTTAGAATTAAAATGAAGGAAAACAGAGTCGAGCGCGGTTGCCAGTCCATGGTTAATAGCGGGGAGCACCATCTGCAGTCACGGCAGCTTGGTGTAGTGGGTAATGGCTTGCTTCACGGGGTATACGTATCGAGAGGGTTCGGATTTCTGGAGGGACTTGTCTTTTGCATTTTGTGGGAATGTCCTCTTTAGAGTTTAGTATATCACTCAAACACGAATATGGGTGCCATATTCGCGTTCATGTTGAACAACACTACCGGTTGGGAGACAAGTTTTCTAGCCAGATGTGAGATTTTGACCTAACTTTGAAAAATGCGGTAGCAGTTGATCGAATGATGGTCAAAAAGTTCCAGGGGTCTCGTGCCGATTGCTTGTCTTTGGACGGAATTTGCTTTTAGATACCAGGAAAACTGGAGCAGTAACAAAATGAATGCGTTAGAAGAGGGGAGACGAGGCTTGTGCAGGAGAATGTATCTGCAGCTCAATAGGTGTTAACATCAATAGAACTAACCCGTGGATGCTTCACTTTTCGAAGTAAAGTCAAAATGGCAGATTTTGGCTAGAAACCTCTCCCTAGGCGTAGTTCGCCCCGATAAACACGAATATGGCACCCGCTCAGCGCGAAAACGCCTGCACTCCGCGCCAAGGGCACCTGTACACCCAAAAATTCTCCTAGATCACAAGGCACCAAACGCGCCAGAAAGCGAACCACATACTGCTTTTCAGGCGGCTCGAGGAGAGCGCCAATGTAGTAGTGACACCACAACCACTTTTCGCCACGTTTGCGCAAGAAGCAAAAAAGTTAAGCTCAGCAGGGATCCGATCCCACGACCTGTTGCGTGGTAAACGCGGTGGAAAAAGCTCCACAACTCCGTTCAGAGAATCGTTCTGCAAATTTCGAAGGCAGATTCGAGATCAGCGTCCAAAACCACGTCTAGTGAGCTACATCTCATTACAAATGGCCACTTCGACCTGACGACCTTCCCTAGTAAGCTAAGCAAAGCTTCACGGTGACAATATTTTCTGAAACGCGAAAGAATAAGAAAGTACTCAACCTTCTACTAATCCCAGACAGGGTTCCCTGCTCGACTTCGCCCTTCGTTAAGATTTTGCTGGGTGTTGTCCCAGGAGTAGTTCGACTTCCTGGACACAAACCCGACGCCTGCTTGGCTCAAACCATCTGCCAAACCGTCCTCGGCACCTATTTCGTTGAACTTGTTACGCAAAGAATTCTTGGTACGATGAGAAAATACATATGAAGAATACGTTTTTTCAGTTGCTAGATCGTATTGCTTAAGGGTGAAAGGTACCTGGTCGTGTGTAGGCTCGTCGGCGCCGCAGTCATCTATGGCTTTGGAGTGGGCAAGGAAGTTTTCCTTCAGAGGAGATGTGATATTGGTATTCAGAGATTCAATCTACCCTAGGCTCCGAGTAATCCGGCTAGGCCCCACAGGGGAAACTGGGCAAAAGGTAGCCTGATTTTTGGCCAGTGAGGAGTAAAGGACAAGTAGCGCTAGAAAAGAGCTTTTGTTCAAACATTTCTATGACCTGATGTTTGTGTGCTCCGTTCTGTCAAATTAGAAGGCCAACAAGTCCACATAACGACGTCATTCAGAGGCTGTTGGGGGCCGCCTAATAGACATCCATTATGAGCTTTCTGAGCAAAAGAGCATTTCCGGTTTTCAATGCAGTAATGAGATCCTTGAAAACTGCAAAAACAAGTAAGGAAATGATGTTAGCGTTAGATCTCTCACTTGTATTTTTCGTTGAGTTATATGAATTGCTATAAATAGTCCGAGGAGTTGAATTTCCAGTACAAGAATGTTCGCTTCTAAATTATTTATAGTTGGATTTTGATCTCTACATTCATTGCTTCTTTCCATTCATGTATTCCTTTGTTCCTTCAGTTCTATGCTTGTGTGGAATTCTTGCTTGGACCATTTAAATAGAGGCTGTCGCATTACTTTATCTTCACTTCAATGTCTATGATCGAGCTAGCACCGTCGTTAAAATACTTAAGTTTGAATATTTATTCTAACTAAACTTGATTTTCAGATGTTACCCGCAACGGTTGCTGGTGAATATCCTCCACCACCACTGGTCGGTAAACCGTTTGCACAGACCGCGATACCGTATTCCGTACTATTCGTCGTCGGTACATTGGGAAATACTGCCGTTCTAGCATATGTATTTTTTATTACGAGGTCAGTCATCCTGGCAGAATTTTTGAATGGATTCCTGACTTGGCTGGTTGAGAGGGTGTGGTGGCAGATGTGGAGTCCCCGCACATGGGCAAGTCATACGTTGGAGAATCCTCAACACGAGGTCGTGCCTGCGAAGGAGGGAGAGTCGTACCCGTCCGATCCTGCCCGGGATTGGAGTCCGTGATTGCGACCACGTTAACCCCTCCCTCACCGCTTCGAACAGCTTTCGGCGAAACTTTCCTTTGAATTTGTTGGAAACCACGAGGGAAAGTGGAAGTAGCGAAAAAGCCGCGTAAGATGATAAAGGGGTAGAAGGGGAGCGTAAGTGAGAGAAGGCATAGCATACCACGGAATACTCCTCAGCGCCGGGAAAATTCCTCGTTGCGTACAGCTAAACCGCCGTATTCTCGTTTATCTGCAAGGATCGTCTGATCGGTGGAGTGAGGTATAAGACGAGAAACACTCGACTTGTACAACGCGCGCGTCTCCCTCACTGACGTGGGACCTCTTCCATTTCCATATGGGAAGTAAAAGAGCCGCATGATCTCGTAAAAAGGTCGAAACAATAGCGACCCGCTTTCACCAAACTTTATTCCTGAAGCCTATTTTGATTAGAGTACGCCGAAAAACGAGTGAAGAATGAAGTCTGTAACGCTCGTCAATCCTCTTTGTGACCGGCTTGGGGGGATAGGTGAGGCACCAAGTTCGTACAACTCAGATGTTCTTTAATTCTCTCTGCTAATATCTTGATGTGAGAACACGCCCGGAGTCATCGAGTTTAACAAACGTGGTCCGCTCTGCCACTCTACTTCGGGTTCAAACTTCCAATGTATGTAAGCTATGGTAAATTACGCCAGATTTGCCTCGAGAAGAACCTGATTTGGGAGACGTGCCCCCCCCACTCACCAACCCACACAGAGACGATCAACAGGCGGAGGAGACTTCAGCGAGGGGGAGGGGGGGGGGAGGTCAGCTGTATACCTCACCAAACTTAGCGACTTGGCGCGATCCCAATGTCAGTGCCTCTTCTTTCAGCTGGAACATTTCAAATCTGAAAATTACTCTTCCAGATCTCTTAAATCATCTGTGACCGCCCTTGGCAATACTTTTATATATGTTGTGGCATTATGTGCGGTGGATTTGCTCGTTACGGTATCGATACCGTTCTCGTTATCGAATACGATACTTAATAATTGGGTATTCGGTGAATTCGGATGTAAATTACATTGGGCTGTCGAGCTATCCAACAAGGTGAGGTGTTTTTGTAAATTTTGATTTTTTTGAATTTATTTTCTCATTTCCATTGGTTTTTGGAGACTAAGGTGCTCAAAGGCAAAAAAGAGGTTTCTGTTACCAGCAAATGGTTTGAGGGTCGAACTCTAGATCAAGTACAACTCAGACCGAGGCATGATTTCTGTAAGTAGTACGGGAGGAGAGCGGATAACTGGTATTTGTACTGAATATAAGCTCTATCGCAGTTTAACCCTATGTGGTCCGAAACTGAAATGGGATATCTGGAACATACCAAGACGTATTACACAACCACTATGTGTTGTACGTTTTACTAGTACTTCTCAGTTTCCAAATATATTTGGCAATCAGTTTTGTGTCCGTGGTATTTTCGTCCCATCCTATAAATTCTGCGAGACAACAAGTTCCAATTTCACTTCCGCGTGCCCAGTTCCCGTGTCCTCAGCGGATATGAAAGATGGTTAGGCACTATTTACCCTTTACTGCCCCAACCATCCAGAATCGAGCCAGCTTTTGACCGACTTTTTTCTCCGTGGACAGATTTGGCTCAAATATTGTCTCCTGGGGTAGTTTGACCTCCTGAATACGAATATCACATTGGCTTAGCCCGAAACTTCCTAACGCGCGCCACAAGTGCCAGTGATTTGGGTACTGCGCCAAACAGCCTGTCGGCAGGAAGTTTCGGTCGATCGGATGTGAATTCGTGTTCAGTAAGGCAAACTACTCCCTGAGAACAAGTTTTCAGGGTGTTCAGGGTGTTTCGTACCGAACGGATTTGATATTCATGTTCAGGAGGTCGAACTATCACGGGGTTCAAATTTTCAGCCAATTCTGCCGAGCAGAGAAAAGTAGGTTAAAAACTGGCTTGTTTTTGGAAGATTGGGGCAGTAAAGGGTAAATAGTGCCGATGGTTATTTTCTGACGCAGCTGGGATTGCGGCTGTAAACTCGCTACCCAGAGATATTGAAGGGGATTTAGGTAGAGCAAGCCTTGGCACTCTTCTGGAAGAGTTCCGCAAGATGGTTGAGAATTCCAAAACAGTTCTCTTTTTTCTCTTATTCCATCTATTTCTACAGCTTTCTCATTTTCCTTGCCAACTTACATCGGATATCTCTACCCTAACTCTCTCTCTCGAAATCTTTGACATACTGCGCACCGCCGCTTTGCGAGTATCTCTCATTATTTTCGTGTTCATAACGACATCAATGTTTCAGCAGATCCGTTTTATCCATTTTGGTATGAGTAATGTATGTTCCTTTTGCCCAAAAACAAAAGGTTCTGATAGTTTGAGAAATAACTGAAATGCAAATAGGCCTTATAGGCCGAAACAGCCAGGGAGAAAAATGAATGACACATCATGTGTTAGTCAGCTGTCTGAAACTTGTTAGAAGTCTTATAGTGAAAAGCTGAGAATCGAATGACTTTCATATTGGCTGCGCTCTCTGGACCTTCAAACAAACCATCCGTCTCATCAGCGACGTACTGCTGCCATTACTTCTACGTTTGACTGAAAATTGATGACCCTAGCGAAAGAGCTACCCTCTCTGATTGGAACCAGCAGCGAGCCGGTATTCCAGGAGAGCGCCTCTGAACAACAGAGATATAAGTTATTCAATAACAAGTGATTGAGTGTCTGATAAGTAGCTGGGCTTCAAAAGCTGAGACATCCGCCATAAATCTTCCAAGATGTGCGTGATTGAGTAGCTAAGGTGTACTGGAGACAGGATACGGCCTCCCTGAGTAGGCGCTGCGTGGCGCCTTTTCCAGGGAAGGTACCGCTATAGCGCCTCCATCAAGCTGCAACATACTGACTCCGACGCTAACCGTGCCAGCACGGCCCACAAATGTCCGACTGATGCTGATGCTCGTATTGCTTCATTTGCGAAGTACAATATGAAGCGAAGGGATTGATATGAAGCGGCCGCGGTGCTGCATGGATATATGAGTACATACATGCAGCCGTATCTACCGTAGCGGTTATTGGCACGATGCCAACGGGAAACTCGTCCAAAATTGCTTTCTGAGTCGTGTAGAACAAAGGCTTTTTTTGCAGGTTTTTGACCGTTTCACTTCGCTTTTTCGCCATTTTCCCACTATACAGCACCCCTGCTACCATTTAGACCAAGTACCAAATTATCGTACTTTATGCCTTTTATTATAGATTTATTCAGATGTGCTCAACGTTCATTCTAACAGCATTGGCTTTCGATCGATACATGGCCATATGTCATCCGGAGAATAAGCGGGTTAGTGCGTAATCTTTATGATTTACTCTTACACTTTCGATTTCACAGGATATTTCGATGATAGTTATGCTTGGGACTTTTTGAAGGGGCATGAACTGGAGAGCAGCTTTCTCCACCAATGGTTGCGGCTCAGGTTGTCATCGATTGGTGGAGGAGGCCGCCTGACTGCGCGCCAGTCCACGCCTCCTCACACGCCCCCTCGTTTGTAGGGACTACGTAGACAGCATCGCATGTGATGAACTGATAGAAAATTATTTCAAAGGTGATCCAGACCATCACGCGCTTCGCTGTGCAGTCACTGGTTTGCAGTTGTGCACGCAGTCATTGTAGAGCAGTAGGAAGCTTTGCTGGTACCTGCAGATTTAGAGGATCGAAATCATTTTAAGGACAAGCTATTTTATAGCCGAGACATTTAGTGCGAGGATTGTGTGTGTTTTTGTTTATCCTACGCAAGCAACAATGTAGCCTTTATTAATAATTAAATGATT